ATTTTGTTGATTGATGAAATTAAATAATTAACACTTCCATTTTGGAAAGCATTCTTTGTTTACAGCATTTTTTCTCACCTGTCTAAAACATTAGCACAGTACTGTATGTGTGTGTATGTATATATGTGTGTGAGGTAGTGAAGCACTCATATTAAAAGAAACAGGTTTTCTGAGATAGATGACTTCCTTGAGCAAAACCGGCTCTCTTGACCACACAATCAAAAACTCACCATAAAACTTCCTTTCTCATGTCCTTGTGATTGCACTAACCAATCAGAAGCTAGAACACCTTTGCCTGTGGCATTTGTGGTCAAGTGCTGCAAACTCTACCTCTTTCATCAGAAAGCACACAAAGCTAAATTGATAAAACCAGTGGGGGGTGGGAAGGGTGGAACCAGTCTTCATTGTCACAAAGGTGTCTTTCCGTATAACTTGGTAACCATGAACAATGTATGGACGTGACACATTTTCATTCATTGTTGCATTTACATTATAAAATGTTGGATATGTTTTATGTGCCAATTGTTAAACCTTGTTGTGAAGTCTGGACAGTGCAAACGTCATGTAAAATCGATGTTGCTGCTGGAGTTTAAATATATTAATCCGGTGATGAAAAAAAATGTGTAACTGTTTTTATGTCTGGTCCTAATGTGTTGCTATGTGTCTTTTATCCTGCAATTCTTGCATCGTAAAAGAGCAGAGACAAGCAGCAGAGACAAGCAGCCCCGACTAGAAAACAAAGAAACTTTCTACCTAGCAGAGCTATCCACTCAGTCAATATGATCTTTTGTGGTTTATGTTAAAAAGTAGGAGGAAACCTGACAGAACACAATATAGTACTAAAGTCACATCAAACCATCAAACACCTCTGTTCTAGTAATGCAAACTAACAACTGTTGCATTTCCAGCATCGGAACCACACAGTAACTTACAAAGAGGAAGGAAGTTGGTTTAACTGCTGTGTCTAAACAAGTATTTAGCTCAGTAAGCTCTTGGGAAGGAAAATGAACCCAGCATCTCTTCAGAAGCTGCTCTGTGAGTATAATCTTTAATTTCCAAACTTAATTAATTATATTTAGACCACATCAGTTAAAGAACCAGACAGATGATAGGTCTTAAAATGGTATATTCAAGTTTGTCTTTGTTAAAAGATCCATGTCATATCATAATCATTTTGTTTCTCAAAAGAAAATTTATTGCAATCCTTTCATATAGAAAATTATGTAATATGAAATGATATAGCAGCTCCATAGTTTAGTGGTTTCTGCGTTCGGCTAAACAGTGAAAGACTGCTGGTATAAAAATATATAATAAACAACAGCGATATGACTTAGAAGACTTAGATTTAGAAGAAGGTGTGTATCACATTTAATTTCCTTTATTCATTTTTCTAATTATTATTATTTTTATTTTTTAGAATTATGGTCTTGGACCATAACTTTAACATTATATTATTAAGGATAAGAATGCAACTGTTTTTAATCAGGGATTTATATCTTTAGATCTAATATCAGTAATCTGTAATTTATACATTTTAGTTTTCTTTACTATTATTAGCCATGAAGTCATCTTATGAATTCATATTTGCCTTTAGTGGAAAATAACTAGGATAAAGTTCTGGCTGACAAGTAATGGAAACAAAGCTTTTAACGGAGAGCCAACCTCAACAAACAAAAATGAGAATAAGTGAAAACACAAAGAATGGAGGGATTGTGCAAAAACTAGAGTTGTGTTTTACCTTCAGTGGGCAGCAAAACATTTCCAATTTTTAATGGCTGTTGCAAATTAAAACAAAAATTGGTTCATTAAAACTACTCTAACAAGTTGTACTTACTTAATTTTCAATTCAATTCAGTTTTGTTTATATAGTGCCAAATAATCAACAGTTGCCTCAAGATGCTTTATCTTGTAAGGTAAAGACCCTACAATACTACAAAGAAAACAGAAAATCCCAACAATCATATCACCCACTGTGAGCAAGTGCTTTAGCAACAGTGGGAAAGAAATGACACGTGGTGGAAGAGAGCCAGAGATTAATAATAACTAATAATTAAATGCACAGAGGTGCATTCATAAAAAAATGAGTGATACAGGTGAATGTAAAAGAAAAAGAAACACCTGGTGCATCATGAGAAGGCCCAATTAGCCAAGTCTTGGCTGAAATTCAACTAAATTTAACTAAAGAATGATTCAGGGTCACCTGATCCAGCCATAACTATATGTTCTTTCAAAGCGGAAAGTTTGAAGCTTAAAAATAGAGTGTGTGTTTTTCTCCTGAATCCAAACTGGAAGCTGGTTCCACAGAAGAGGGGCCTGAAAACTGAAGGCTCTGCCTCCCATTCTACTTTTAAATACTCTAGGAACAACAAGTAGGCCTGCAGTGCGAGAGCGAAGTGCTCTAATAGGGTGATATGGTACTACAAGGTCAATAAGATAAGATGGGGCCTGATTATTTAAGACCTTGTATGTGAGGAGCAGGATTTTGAATTCAATTCTGGATTTAACAGGAAGCCAATGAAGGGAAGCCAAAACAGGAGAAATATGCTCCCTCTTTCTAGTCCCTGTCAGTACTCTTGCTGCAGCATTTTGGATTAACTGAAGGCTTTTCAGAGAGTTTTTAGGACATCCTGATAATAATGAATTGCAGTAGTCCAGCCTGGAAGTAATAAATGCATGAACTAGTTTTTCAGCGTCACTCTGAGACAGGATATTTCTAACTTTAGAGATGTTGTTCAAATGGAAGAAAACAGTCCTACATATTTTGTAATATGTGCTTTGAAGGACATATCATGGTCAAAAATGATTCCAAGATTTCTCACAGTGTTACTAGAGGCCAAGGTAATGCAGAGTAAGCATCTGGTTAGATACCATATTTCTTTTTATACAGTTGCGATCAAAAGTTTAAGAAAAATGGCAAAAAAGCATGTATTTTATTGAAAACAACGCTTGAACTGAAACAGACTGCTTTCACAGCTGATCAAAAGTTTAGGACCACATGCCATTAAAAGTCCAATTCTGTGCAAAAATTTGGATTCATTGTAGTTTTCTGTCAGGCAGTCACTGTGTCATGATATTCTGATGGCAAAGGCAAAAAAACCCCATTCCCTTTTTGAACGTGGAGGGTTGTTGAACTGATTAAGCAGGATCTCTCACAGCGCTCCATCGCTGCTGAGGTTGGACTTAGTAAGGCAGTCATTTGGAAATTCTTAATGATCCTGAGGGTTATGGAACAAAAAAAGTCAAGTGGAAGACCCCAAGAAGTGGATTAACAAATGCACATCAAGCAACAGAAAGAAGAAAAGTTTGGTATGGGGATAATGAATGAAAATGGACTTCAAAAACACCATCTACAATTCTACAACGTCCACTTTTGGCAAGACGAACATCAATTTAGCAGAGTAGTTGGAAGAAGGTTCAGAGGAAATGATTCCTGTAATAAAGGAAAATAGAAAAGGTATAGCTGAATACAAAGCCTGCCCTAACAAATGCAACCTTAAGACCCTTTGAGGTACATGGACCAAATTCCAGCATATCACCAGGCGATTTGTCCGCGATAACTGGCTCCAGCTGTGCTTTCAGCTGCAGAATGCAGCCACACAGGCAACATCATCGGTCCATATAAGAATTTATTATGAAGGAAAGAAATAGTTTGGCGGCATGGTGGTTAGCACTGTTGCCTCACAGCAAGAAGGTCATGAGTTCAATTCCAACATCAGGCCGGGGTCTTTCTGTGTGGAGTTTGCATGTTCTCCCCGTGTTTGCGTGGGTTCTCTTCGGGTACTCCGGCTTCCTCCCACCGTCCAAAGACATGCAGCTTGTGAAGATATATAATATATATATAAATTGTCACTAGGTGTGAATGTGCGAATGAATGTGAGTGTGAATGGTTGTCTGTCCCTGTGTGTTGGCCCTGCGACAGACTGGCGACCTGTCCAGGGTGTACCCCCCTCTCGCCCTATGACAGCTGGGATAGGCTCCAGCGCCCCCTGCGACCCTGAAAAGGATAAGCGGAAGCGAATGGATGGATGAAGAAATAGTTTGACAAACATTTACAGGACTCATCAAAAATATACATGAGCACAAGTCTCATACCAAATGCTGCCACATTAGATTTGTGCCACATACTATGTTAAAAAGCGTGCTGTAAACGTGTTGATGACCGGAAAATCTACTGAGTCTACAGATGTTTTAAGTCACTGTAAAGTGAGGCAAATAGAGGGAAACTATTGTACCAGAAATTTGCTTTAATTTAAACAACTCAAAGCTTAGACTAACCTGAATGTTATTTCTCTTTAGTTCTGACCTCACTTCTGTGCTACACAGCAAACCAAGGTCAGTAAGTTTAACATATGACAATCTAAACCCAATAAAGTGTGTTAAACATCCTTTTCTACATGTTGTTAATGAAGTTAATAAGCAAACAATACCAGAATTTTTTTTTAAATTACTGCATTATTACTTCTTGCATTGTGGTGTACCTGAAAGTAATGAAATATCAACAAACCTATGAGTCTACCTTATCTATGTCTCCAAGAAGCATTTATCATGGAGTAAAAACTGGAACTGTTCAAGAAAAGCTTTTTTGGACAGCCACATTCTATGTGATCTAAGAACTCTTTATCTGGTCTGGACCTGACTCCATACTAAGCTGATGTGTTTTATGTGATTTTATGTATAGCTTAATTTTCTCAGTCTCTCTAAATCTGCCAATCTTGACAGAAAAGGAAAAATTTAAGTCTCCGATACCATATTTTTTAGTTCCTGCTAAGTCTGATATTAGCCTGTTGTCTTACTAACTACTAACAGTAATCTTTGATTATTAAACATAAAGTGATTATGGAATTTAGGAAAACAAATATATTTTATTAGAAGCAAATACTATGTGGTTATTGTAATATATTGTTTCTGGTAATATGTTCTTACAAGCCACCACTGAATGGTGGGTTATAAAACACAGCACGGCTTTATGTTTTAATCAGAATACATTGAATTCTCCATAGCTCGTCTGACTGTGAGTCCCAGCAGCTCTCAGTTTTTTAAAGACGACTTTGTGTCTCTGAGCTGTGAGGAGGACGACAGCTCTGCTGGATGGACTCTGAGGAGAAACACAAGCAAACAACAGAGGACTCAGTGTGGAGATGGGTGGGGAAAACCAGCTGGTTCTTCCTGCAACATCAGCTACATTGACCCACTTGAAAGTGGAGTTTACTGGTGTGAGTCCAGAGAGGGTCCCATCAGTAACATGGTTAACCTGACAGTCACTGGTAAGCTGAGTGTGTGGAGTTAGTGTTGATGAAGCTGTGTGTAAATGGATGAAATGCTGTAGTTTGTCTCTGTGTTGAGGTGGATCAGTGATCCTGCAGAGTCCTGTCCTCCCTGTGATGGAGGGAGATGACGTCACTCTGCTCTGTAAAACAAAGACCACTCCCTCCAACCTCCCAGCTGCTTTCTATAAAGATGGCTCCCTCATCAGGAAGCAGCCTACAGGTCACATGACCATCCAGCATGTTTCCAGGTCTGATGAAGGCCTCTACAAGTGTGACATGAGGAATCGTGGAGAGTCTCCATCCAGCTGGATCACTGTCACAGGTGACACACTCACCTGTCTGTGTTTCTGTAGGTTTCAACATTCACAATGTGACGAGAACTTAATGACTCTGTTTGCTTTATTTCAGAGAAACCCACCCCCACACCACCACCTACATCCACACCTCCTGTTTGGACCTCTCTTGCTCCATCCCTCTTTCCTTCTGTTTTCTCTGTGTTGTCTTTTGCTGGATCAGTCTGTGTTGTGGTTCTACTCGCATTACTGGCTCTGCTGGTGAGAAGACATGTTCATAAGAAGTCTAAAGGTAAAACCCATTTTTCTGTATTTTAGATATATATTTGTTTTGCAGAATAAAGTTTATATTCATTTCATGTTATTGTTTATTCTGTTTAATTTCAGTTGATGAACAAGCTGGAGAAGATTCTGCTGATGTCACATATAGTGATATCAAAATATCACATCTTCAACAGCTGCCAGTCAAGCAAAGCAGAGGTGGTCTTATTCTCTTATGGTGTGTTTGGGGGCTATTGGACGATCATGGAGTTAGGAAACGTTTTTTTTTTTTAAATAAAATGAGTAAAATATACATTTCTATAATGTATAAGAGTTTGTACAGAGTTAGGACCCAAAATTCAGGACACAAGCAGATACAGTAATCAAAGGGAGCAATTTTATTGATGCTGAGGCAGAAATTGAAACAAACACAAAGTAGATAAAAGGAATAAAAAACAAATAAAAATGAATCAAAAATCCACACAGACACAACACACAACCAAGGAGCATAAACAAATATACAAAGGACTCATTGCACTATATATACACTACCAGTCAAAAATTCCCTTCACTTGCACTTCGCTTGTTCCACATTTTGTATACACTAACTGTCAAAAGTTTTATAACACCCCAATTTTTCCAGTTATTTATTGCTATTCAAGTTGTTCCAGTCCAATGAATAGTTTGAAATGGTAAGTGGTGAACTGCCAGAGGTTAAAAAAAAGTTTAAGGTTACCCAAAACTGAAAAATAATGTACATTTCAAAATGATACAAAATAGTCTTTTTCAGTGAACACAAAATGGGTCAGCAATTTTAAGCTGTTCTGCAGCAATGGAGGTTGATCAAGCTGGTTCTAATAATTTCTACAGGTTTAACACTTAAAATGTGGGTCTTTCCTACAGATAAATTGAAAAGAAAGTCAAGGTGTCAGTAAGTACAGTTTCCTTCACCATCAAGTTTCAGAGAGTTAACAGCTTGAGTGATAGGGGGCTCATGTTACACCCTGAAAAGGGGCTGAAAAGGGGATAAGTCAATGACAACGCTCAGACACGATGCTTCTCTTTCAGCAGCTTCATTGCGAATGATTCAGAAATATAAACATGCATACAAAAGTATTAAACATCTTAACAATGATGTACAGTCTCTGTTAGTTGTAAGAGGATATATCTCAAGACCGTCTTCTTTCCTTTCCTTTAAGTTACAGATTAAATTGAATGTAAGAATTTACAAAAACAGCTTATGAATCAATAAACAAATTTGGATCATTAAACTGAAATGTACAGAAAATAAACAAAATATTCATATAAAAATACTAATTTGGCATTTGTCCCTTCACACAAAATAAACGTGTTCTTCGTCCAGATCGAATGCACAATGCACACAATGCTGTATGTTTCATACACAGTCTGGCACGATATTGCTCCATGCTAGCCACAAACAGAGTGCTTAGCTTAGCTAGCTGCTTATAGCTTATCCTAACAACACAGTTAACACAGATGATCTAAATATTCCTAGTATCCTCTTGGTACATTTTGAAACACGGTCAGTACAGCTCAACATACATATTTGTAAAGTCCAAAAGCAGAATTGCTAAATTATTACCTGAAAAGGGGATAAGTCAATGACAACGCTCAGACACGATGCTTCTCTTTCAGCAGCTTCATTGCAAATGAGGCATCGTGGCCAGAGCTCCCCCTTCCAGCAATGGCAGGCATAACTAATCAATCATGATCACTAAATCACATGGATTATTCCCCAGGCTCAACAAGTAGATCACAGATTGAATTTTACACAGGTTGTAGTCACATTAAGGATTGTTATCCGGTTGAAAATAGTCATGAACTCTTAACTATTTTAGCTTGTGTTACATTACGTCTCTTAATGGGACTTATTTTACCCTTGTTTATACATTTACATATTTGAAATAAATTGAATAATACATTGAGTAACTTTTAACCACAACTGTTTACCCCATTATGAACTTCAACTAATAATCAATCTATCACACTCACAGGACAACAGCTTCAAGCAAAGAACCTGTTTAGCCCACACCCCCCGGTAACGGGGGCAAAAGGGAGGAGATCAATGTTTAATCGGTTATAACACAGGGTCATAAATATAAGTCCCAGCATGTGTGGTATCCATAGAAACCTCTGAATCTCAGCTAAAATCTCATATAATGCATTTCTACAACCACCAAACACAACAAAAACAAGCCATGATTAAAAGAGCAGTTACATAAATGCACAAAAGTCCGCTAAACAAACAAAACCGAACCAGAAAGTCAGAAATTGGCTTACCGTCCCAATTTCCTCCATTATTTTCCCCAGTAACAGGTAGCCTCACGACTATCAGCAGTTAACATAGCTAACTAGCTGCATCAGAGCCATTTCCGTCAACAACCTCCATTTTAGACCCGTCTACAGACACGTGACTGGACAAATGCCACATGCAGTAAATTTGGGCCCACGTGAGTTTTGGCCTTGTAACTTCTGACTGGTTGAAGTGAAGTGAATGTGGCATCATTACTGTGATCCTATTGGCTCAAATGATTAAAAAGAGGTGTCAGTCATGCAAATTGGCCAAAATAAACCAAATTTACAGCCCCTCAGAGTTTAAAGGGCCAGAGGCCAATTAAACGCTCCATGCGCACAGCAGAAGAGGCCCATTGCCATGTGAATGTGTGGTTAATTCTTCAAAAATATATAAAAAAAACAAGCATTTTAGTCCTGTTAACAAAAGTCTTTTCTGCTCCTTAATACCTAAAAAAAGTCAACTGACATGATGTCGAATGTTTCCCAAAATTGCACATTTATGTACAACATCTGGATATTTATGTATTGACAGTGCTGTAATTTTTCACTGTTCTACTTTACTACATATGTCTATGAAGGTTCTCAGTCATCCAGGTCATCGTAGTCATAGGAGCTTGCAAAGAAAAGCGTCTGGACTTTTAAGTTGCTTGAAGACGTTTCACCTCTCATCCGAGAAGCTTCTTCAGTTCTAAGGCCAAATGGTGGGGAGTCGCAGATTTAAACTTAGTGGGAGTATCCCCCAAAGAGGGAAAAAAAGGACCCACTGATGATCCTCTAATCGCCTGAGCCAAGGTGTGAAAATGGGCGTGGGTCCCAATCAGCCAAGGTTTCGGGTGAGCTCATTGTGAAACCTGGCCCCACCTTATCATCCAAATTCCTGAGGTCAGATGGCCCAGGATGTGAGTGGGCGTTAAGGCATCTGGTGAGGGAACTCAAAACTGGATTACAGATGGCAGACAGTTGGTGTCGTAAACCACCGCCTCTGTTCAAAGATGGTCGCTCACAGTTTACATAGATGGTTTGAAAGAGGAGTGAAAGAAGCCATCTATGTCCACTGTGAGCAACCATCGTTGAACAGAGGTGGTGGTGTTGTGTTTAGAAAATAATAGTTTAGATTCACCATAGCCTGCCGAATCTGCCAAGACCTTTTGGATGGGTCCAAAACACTGAATGGGGTTGGCCCAGTTCCCTCAAGATTGTGTCCCAAGTGACAGCCAGATGTTTTGTGAGCCTTCACATATGGAGAACCCAGCAGATAGCTAGAAGGCCTTACTGAAACACTTTCCAGACGCTTCTTCACTAGGTCATGGTGACAGGCATGCTGGTTAGCCAGAGGTGCAGATTTGAATTGTTGTGTCACACACTCTCTGTCACACTGTAGATCATCTGGAGGAACAGGTGGCAGATCAGAATCAGTCGACCTCTGACAGTGACCAAATGACACCACTGAGCAATTATGCTCGAACTGTTGCTTAGGACTGGCAACTTTGTCCGTTTGCGAACCACGATGAATTCTTTTCAAAGCAGATCTTTTTTGCTTTAAGTGGGCTTTCAAACAGTTAGCAACCAGGTGGCCAGGTTTGTGGCAGAAGAGACAGAGCTTTGTTTCGGATCTTAAAACCATGCCTGTATCATCTTTGTTAGCTGACACACTCCTAGCTCTCGAGACTGTTTCCGTTTGTAGGCCTCACAATTTGCTCTTAAATGGCCAGACTTGAAACAGAAGAAGCACTTTCTTTCCATCTTGGGACGAGACACGAGTACCTCACACTTTGGGTACTGCCCAGGTGGAACCTCGCTAGCCTTCACTGGGGCTAGCGAGGTGACTCGGTCATACCTACTGACACTAGTTTTATGGACATGCACAAACTCATCAGCCAGCGTCGTAGCCTGCAGTAGTGAGTAAACCTACTGTTTGTTAAGATATACTGTAATTCGCTTGGAAATGCAGTTCTTAAATTCCTCTACAAGTATTAATTCATGCATCAATGCCAGGTCAGTAGCTTTGCATGACACACACCACCGATTAAAAAGCACACTTTTCTCCCTTGCAAAATCTCCGTAGGATTGACCCTGTCCTCTTTTCAACCCCCGGAAACGCTGCCTATACACCTTTGGGACCAGCTCATAAGCCAGCAGTCATAATTCAGACTGTCCTCAGCTGACAATGAGGAACAAACTTCTTGAGCCTTACCTAGTTTGCATTGCAGCAGGATGGCCCACACATCTCGTGGCCAGTGCAAGGCTGTGGCTATTTGCTCAAATGACTCAAAATAACCATCAACCTTAGTGTCACAAAACACCAGAACAAGACGACTATTTTTTCAAACTCTGCCTCAGACCGTGGCATGGAGGCAGTAGTTGGGAGGGAAACCTCTTGGAGTTCCAACTGTCATAGCTTGACAGTCGTCTCTGCTTCCACCTTTTTCAGTTCAATCTCTCTGGCTCTGGCCTGCTCCACCTCTAAACGCCTAAGCTCCAACTCCTTCTTCAACTGAAACTTTCTCTCACGATCTTCCCTTTCCAGCTGGAGATGAGCCAGGCGTACCCGGAGCCTAGCATCCTGCTTTGAACCCACTGATGACTATTGAGAGTGGTTCAAAGTGAGGCAGTGAAATCGGCCTGTTCTCAGGCATCCCCTGAGCAACAGGCGTAGACACCGATGGTGCTACAGCATGATCCAGTTGCAGAGGAACAGGCTGAGATGCTGCACCATGCTCGGCCACACAAGGTGAACTGGC